GAATATGAGTCATAAAAAGTTAAAACGCCACCTGTTGCAAATAGCTTGCTTTCAATAGCAGAAACATAATTCTGCAGAACTTGTGAGCTAATGGTTAATCCAAGTAGGGTCAAAACTGAAGTGGATTGTTGCCTCGTTAAAACACTGATATAAACAAACTTGTAACAGAACATACAAAGGATAAACACTTTTTTTAACTTTTACATCAGGTCTTTACATAAAACTCTATACAAAAGTGAAGAGTAGCAGCTTCCATCATTCTCTGCATGACTGTAATGGTAGTTATGGTGCAGTAAAATTTTGTAAGAATTAATTCATAATTTTAGAAATGCAACAATCCACTTTTGTCTTGGCTGTCTCAAAAAACAATAAATCATCAATCCATTCAGATTCAAACTCTTTTTTTTCTAAGCTGAAGCCATTCATATAGCTATCTGCAACGGGTAAGATGTTACTTGTTCACAACTTTTTCACAGAACCCCATTTGGCAGCTGAACCATCTATTTGAATCAGAAAAATGGCGACAAAAATAGCTTTATACAGACTGATCAGGTTTTCTCTTTTTCTTTGTTTACTATACTTTCTGTCACGTATTACAAACACCAACAAGGCTGTGCTGTAAGAGCACACTGGCTTCTCTGTAGAGAGACAATCAGCTGCAGAGTGCACTTGCTGCTCAAGAAAATAGCTGATGCAACATTTTGTTATATCGAAAAAGAAGTGTTAATCAAAGAAAGGTGGAAAAAGCTGATGAATTTTGCATGACAGATAAGCAACACCTGCTTCGATATTGTCAATTTCACCTCTTTCCCATTTTCCTCCTACTTTAAATTCCCTCCCCCACTTTTATATAATTTCCTCTCTGATTAGTCATTCAATCTCCAGACATCTCCTTTTCTTCYTCCTCTCCTCCTTTAGCCATGTTGTTTAGATTCTATAATCCTGTGCTGCTTGACTCCCACCCCACTCCATGAATTGGAGCAGTTCAGTGATGTAGGAGGCAGTGCCAGCGTGAGTGTGTGGTAGCTACCACCTCTCCAAATGATTAATGGTCTGAGTTGGGCAAGGTGAAAAGTGGCTGCGCACACTGTGACATGTTCCAGCCCTTGTGCACAAACACACACTCATCCGCTTTATGCAGGTGTCCTGTTTGTATTCTGTCAGGATGGAGGTGGCGAGGAGGAAGGGTGTGTGTCTGGAAGGTTGTGTCTCACTCAGTGGACTGTTTCTTAGAGGGAAGTGAAATGAGGATGCAGGAAAAGAAAAATGAAGTGAAAATGAGGTTTCTCCAAAGCTGTGCAATGTTGTGAGGAGGAATTAAATTGTGAAACTGCCATTCACTCAAAGATGAAATGACAAAAAAAGTGATTCAACCCACAAAAAAACACACATGTGTGGTTCTCTCTGGGCTGTACTCCATGTGTGTGTTTGTGCGTGAAAGCTGATCGTCCTGGATTCCCAGCTAAACTTAGCCAGGCCAGCACAGCCAAAAGTGATTGGTCATCATCATCACCTAACTTCATTCACTTGTATGTTCAGAGCCTGAGAGAGAACGATGCTTTCTGTCTTCAGCGGATCTACGTGACCCCACCGATCATGTGGATATTGATCGAACTACAGACAGCAGTGGGAGGCAACACTGTGACTCACAAAGACTGGGCAGACAGAGCCTTCAAAGTCAGGTCCAAACTTTTTTCAGCTGAACATTTTATTCCGACATCTATATCTAGTGTGTGTTTCTAACCACTTGAGGATAAAAGATATGATTCATTTGAGGAATTTGAGACACTGCAGTCCAAACGAGAGAATAAGCATTGAACAATAATTACAAACTCAGTCATGGCATGTCTGCAAAAAGTTTGGATTCAGCACAACGAAATAATCTGTAAAACTGCAGCATATGGTCCTTTTTTATTCTTTGCTTTCCCAGTAAGATTCGCAGCAAACTGACCTTTAGACTCGCAAGAAGACTGCCTTTCTTGTTCTGCTTCTTTTCTCAAAGTTCAGAAAGTTTGGACTTTTGAAATTATGAACAGATAATGTGTTACATGTTGCAGAGAGCTCTTTGAACATCAATATGGATGCAAAAACATCTTTGTGTTGCCATCCACTTCAGTTTTTAAAGGGGCAATATTATGTGTTTCTCATATATATAAATACTATACCATAATAAAGTATTTATGTCACCTTTAGCTGTTATTAAAATGCTGTTTTTATGTTTAAATAGAAAATAAACTTATCTTCTCATCACTTCCTGTTCTAAACGCCTTGAAATTAGCCTGTCTCTTTAAGAACCACCTTCTGCTTCTGTCCCACCCATTTCGGTGCCGGTGGGGCTGCCATGATGCAGTTTACTTGGCATCTGAAAATACATTTCCTCAAAGGTATTTTGAATCTGAAAAGAGCTTCACAGTGAGAAGTAGTGGAGCTCAGCAGACAGATTAAGTTCCACTTTCACCCGAGAGGGTGTGTGGGGTGGGGAGGTGTGCTCCGTGATGAGGAAGTTCTGCTTAAAGACATGTCCCAGGGGCGTTTCTGGTACCAAAAGGCGTTTCTGGTCCCCACCTGTCGTTTTGCTCCTCAGCATGGCTTCCTAAAAATGATGCATGATTTCTCAAACATGCATGAATGAGTCAAAGCAAGGTTTTGGGCATGTTTTTTTATGAGAGTATAACATTATAACATGATATTAAACTCAAAAAAGTTGATTTTACATGATACTGCTCCTTTAAATAGAATTTGTTGATTATATACAACATTTAAAAATGGCAGTAGCAACTATAATTTTAGCATTTTCATCGCTGTCTGGGGTCACAATATTTCTGCTGGAATAATTGTGTAATTTAAAACTGATATCAAGGTTTTAGGTCAACAAAATATAAAAATCAAATAATTTAAATCTTAATGAAACACCATAAGATTTTTTGAACTTGTTCAACAAAAACGTAGTTCAATTGAGTTTTGATCTTAGGCTACAAATGATAGCTAGTCCATCAGTTAAACTTTTCTTCAAACTGAACTCTTTCGAAGAGCTATCCACAACAGGTAAGATACTTTTCCCACAGATTCCCCATTAAGATTTTAAATGTCCCTTCAATGTAACGCCATTAAGCCATCTTTTGACCGTACAGCTTGATTCATTAATTGAAAACACCCCAGAATGTGAAAGTAATTATGTTAAGTAAACTAAAACTGGATATACCGTATGTTATTAGAATTTGAATAAATACAAGTGCCTACAGACACACTTTACAATCCTCATTATTAGCAGCAGGCAGAACTAAGCAAAGGTCAATGCTTTTTTCTTTTTGAATGAAATCAGTTTCCTGTCTCCAACTCAAATGAGGAAGCGTGCACTCATAGTATCTAACTCAAGTATATAAGTAGCTTTATTGTRTTGTGTTAGCAGCAAGTGATTTCTTTGCTGTTGGGATTTTACCAGCACGTGCACACAAATATTCAAAATCACTTATGGATTTGGCAAAAACAAGTATAAACTTTCTCGGCCTCCTGAGGCAACCATCAAGGTCCACGCCATAAAAGAAATACTCATTTAAAATGTGGCTCATTATGCCTTAGTTTCACTGAGGAAGTGAGGAAGTCAGGCTCTTGTGCTGTGATGATGACAGTATTGCGACTCTCAACGCTAAACTTTAACCCCCACCACTCAGCTACATGTATTATTGATGGCTGCCAAATTCCATACATGAAAGGCCAGCTTTGTGGACTGGATGAAAGACACTGTGTCTCCTCTTGTGGTCACTCATTTCCCCTCCTTTCTACCACTTCTGTCTTCTGCTCTGGGCTTACATTTTTGAAAATTGTCTTCGACGTTTTCTGCTTCAGTCAGCAACTCAAACGCCTCATCCTGAACAACGATGTGAACAAGAGTTCACTCTTTGGGTGGGGAAATTCACCCATACAAGTGAAGAAACACCAAAAATATATTTTCTATTAAACAATTAATAATGAATAGTTTTTATATTTTTCATTTGATTTATGTTGTTCCTTGGGAGTAAAATGGCACATTTCACAACTTTTGCACCTCACTGTCTGGATACAGTTTGGACCTGGGATCAGCTTCTGAGCTAAWGCACACATCGGTAGCTTGTTCATGTGTTGCCATGTAGGTCTGCTGCCCTCTAATGAACAAAGTGACTTATTGCAGAAAGAACTTCAATTCATCAAGAACATGCGAAAGAAAGTGACACTTTGGCACATGTGTATTAGGAGGGATATTCTTTTCAGATTGCTTTAAGTTTTATTTGATTGTTTTTGTTGCACATGAACTTTAAATTCACAGGAAATCAGAGCTCCATTTTCTCCTAAAACACTTATAAAAACATAAAAGTTACAAGAGCTCTGCAGCAGCTCTTACAGTGTCATTATAAAAACTTTCCATGTGGTTTAATCTCAAAATGGATTTTAGAAGCTCTGCTGTTGTAGGGATTAATGAGCCTTTTATCCTTGCTGAAGGCATCATAAAAAAAAAAAAAAGAGCAAGGATACAGATTATGAAAGTAATTACACAAAGTCAAAAAGCTATAATAAACTGTGGTGATACAAAGAAAAAAGGGGTATTTTGGTTCTARTCTCTTTTTTAAAATCATAGCATTGAACGTTTAGTTTGAAACAGGATACAAGCATTAGAAGAGACAATCATTAATGAACTTTAGTGCCAAACATTTTAAATCAGTCCATTACCTTCAAATGAAACGCATGTCCCTGCCACTTTACATGCCCAGGTTTAAATGCAGTCGAGTGTGATGAGTTAGTCCTCAGATCACATGATGGGGGATCACTCTCAGCTACTACCACACTAAGTTTTAACTCAATATTTGTATAACTGACAGCATTATAGTCACTGTTTGGTAAGTTTGATTAGATGAGATAAAAATAAATAAATAAGTCACGTTACCACTGAAAGTGGTTGTATTTATTTTTTACCTTTGCTGTAGATCAAAACACTTAATCAAAATGAGAATTCAGTGAGCCAAAAATGAAATAAAACAAAGACTTTATTTGAGTTTAAATTGTTTAAAAATACACAACACAGAAACACTTGCAGATCATTTTTGGATTCACTGTTGTGAACACTGTTTGTCCAAATCCTCTGGATSGAACCAGCCTCTCTCCACATCTGTCCCAACAGCTGCATCTGCAAAGAACAAGAGTGTATTGAGAAGAAGCCAACAGACCATCCAGGTTCATGACAGCAGAGTGAGACCTTCACTCAGAATGAATCTGTTCGATTCAAGCCTTTGCAAAGTTCACACTGGTGATGAAGCGGAACAGAAGYCAGTAAATCAGACTGGATTTAAGCCGCTTATTTAAAATGTGCTTTTTGTGGCGAGACTCCCACATCGACACACCAGAAGCTGAGTTTAAAAGGAATATTTCCTTTAGGTGGGCTTATGTGGGGAACCGATGAGCACACTGGGATCATGAGCTCTGGGTGGAAGAACCGTATCAAACTCTGACAGTAAGACAAGCCAAAAGCTTAAGAGCAAATTATTGCCACCTGAACAGAAACCTCAAAAACTCTGTGCTGATTTGAGCAAAAAGTATTGTGGAATTTATCACTGCATGATTTTTTTTTCCATTTATATCATTTTCACCGTTTCTCCTAACATTAACTCTAGGAAGGCACCCGGTTCTGTCAACAGAACAGACAGATTGTAGCCACAAAAGAAATGGTTTTCAACCTAGCATTAGTAACGTAGCACTGACCGACTGAGACCACCACAGAACTTTGCATAAAAAAAACTGAACTCTGCACTGTGTGTGAGACTTACCTGGAATGACTCCAAGGTCGGAGTTATCAAAGAACTGTCGGGGGCGGCTCCTGGACAGCAGTTCTGAGCCTTCGCTTGTATCAAACAATCTGCTTTTAGGAGAGTTGAGCACTGGTTTTGGAGAGCCTGGGAGTTTTCGGGGAGACTGCAAACCCTTTTTAGGCGAGTCTAGCACTTTACTGCCTGGAAAGATMATTTTTTTGGGAGCGCCCAAAACATTGTCAGAGTCTACGGTCATAGAAAAGATCCTCTTAGTTGGAGTAGAGGGTGAGGTCTTCTTATCCTCAGATTTGCTCATCCCTTTCAGCTTGATGGCTCTGTTCTTCCACTTACTGATGTCAGCCTGCTGACTGGACACCAAGCTGATAAGACACAAGGACAAAAAGGTCAGATATGCTTTAACCTGGTAAACCATTAAACAACTTCATCTCTGTTTCTGGATTGTCTTATTTTATCTGACTGCATTAATCCACAGTGCTAAGAAAAGCTTTTGGAATGATCAACATCTCACTGTAATGGTATTTCTGCATCAACTATCATTCACATTTAAATGATAAAACACAGAAAACTGTTCCAATTGATTACTACACAGAAATCCCTGCACGCATGTCAAACCCTTACTGTGGATCAGGAGTGAGATTTAAATTTTCACTTTGATGAAAGATAATGAAACCTTAACCCACCTGGCAATTATTTATCACATAAAAACAGGAAATCTGACAGGATCTGAAACAGTTAAAATAAAGAGAGATTTTACCTTTCCAGCTCTGTAATTTTCAGCTGAAGCTGCCGAACTTTATTTTCCAGCTTGGTCTTTTCCTGTACGATGCTACTCTCGATCACTACACCTCTAGGATGAGTCAGTTTGTTGTAAAGGTCCTGTCCCTGCAGAACTAATGTTTAAAAATACAATATTAGTGCATTCAACCTTTTGAACATTGGACTCTTTAAAAAAGCAAACTGACAAAATTTGATACATCCAAAGATGTGCACCACTGAAGTTTCATTAATATTGCTAATTACTTAATTCTGACATTTATTTTAAAGCAACTGATTGAATCCAAATCCTCACAACAAAACTATTTGTGCAAGATCCAAGAGAAAAGGTCAAAACCTTTTAACCATAGAGAGAGAGGGGTTTTATGTGTAACAATTTGAGTCACATTTGAATATCAACATTAAAGAGAAAACATGTTTTGTCTTAATAAAACTAAAGTTCATTTTAATTAAATGTTTTATGATAAATTAATACCAACTAATCAAGAATCCGATACAAACAAAAATAAAAAGTAAGACTACTTTTTGTTTTTTCACATTAGAAAAAGGTTATAATGAAGGTGAAAAAAAAACAAAACAATGAAGTTTAAACATGAATTCATTTAATTTTATTTATCCATCACAAAATTTGAATCATCGTTTGGCACTAGTGTTTTTCATTCTGCCTGTGTGGTGTACTGTTTTTCACTTGAATTTAAATAGTTAGAACTGTAGTTTGTAWAAAGCTTAATGTGGATAGGCCTAGAAATAAACCCATAAACAGAGGATTTTTATGTGTTGTCTGGACCAGTTCACAGCAATTTCTAAAATCTGAAGAGAACAAATTTTTCTCTTCATGGTGCAAATAATGAAATCCATTTGTCAAATTACATTTTTGGAGGGAAAACACAAAACCACAGACGGGACTTACARGATTCCTCTCCTTGCTGCGATTTCCTCAGAGCCTCTTTCATCCTCCTCAGAGAATCTTCTTTCTCGCTCAGCAAAATATTCATCCTGTGGATCCTGAAAGCCAGTGTGAGAAAAATGTTAAACTTTTTGGTTTCTTTTAGTCTTAAGGGAAAGTCTATCTTAGGATGCGTTTCATAGCATGYAAAACCAAAATGTAAAACTGAAAAATATGAGGCTTAAATTTAAATCATTGCGCCCTTACTCCTGCTGGTGTTCATCTGATTTTGAAGTGAGCTTCACCTCCATTTGGAACAGCTTGTTGTGCAACGTTTCCAGCTCCACAGCACTAGGTGACTCTTTTTTCTAAAAAATAAATAAATATAATAACAATAATAATAAACAAATAAATAAATAATAAATAACAACAACAATAATAAAATAAAAACCCATTAAAGCTGCTCATTGTCAAAACAAAACCAAAAATACCAACACCTACTTCAGACTCTCGAAGTTTACTCTTCAGGGTTTGGATTGAGTCCTCTTTCTCTTGCACAAGCGCACGTGTGTCCTGCAGTTCAGTCTGGAGGAGCAAGGTGGCCTGTTTGTGCTGAGACACCCTACTGTCGGCATTTATCTGAGCCTCTTTAAGCACCTCAATTTCTGCACGCAGAATCTAAAACAGAAAAAAAGTCACATCAAGATCTGACAATAGGGGAGTTCTCTTAATCTTTTATTCCTAAACAGGACTATGAATAAAATGCTTCATATAGAGAGTTAAAAAAAGAGGAAGTTGTTTCTATTCACTCATAAAGCAATCGAAAATGAGCAAAAACAAAAGACACTTCTTTCATAAAGCAGTTTGACCCTGATGAAAAAGCTGAGGAATCTCTCCAGCAGGTGGCAGCAGGCACCACTTCCAGCTCCAGTTCAGTGAGGATGTTGACTTGCCTTGATGTTTCGTTCCACTTGTTGCAGCTGTAGAACAAGTTTCTGGTTGTCCTCCAGCAGGGACACTTCTGTTTTCAGAGGAGCTCCTTCCAGTGCCTGCAGCAGAGTGGAACTCTTGCTTTTCTCTTCTCTGAGCTGAGATTCACTTTGAGCGTACAACTGCTTTAGTTCTTCCCAAAACTGTTTGTTCTCCTTCAAGATAGGCTGCATGGAGGCAGATAAAAAAATAGTCAAATACATTTGCAATTCAGTAATTTAAAGTCCAAAATTGGAAACATTCCATTTATCTTTCTTTAAAGTTCTTGTTTAAAGCCCACCTGTATAGACGTCAGGGTTGTTTGGGCAGATGCAGATCTACGAAATATCTCTTGGCTCAGAATACTGTCCAGCAGGGTGACATTGACAGGGTGGCTGCTGATGACCCTTTCTAGCTGCCCATTGACCTTCTCCCTTTCACAGATCTCCGCGTTTTCCTTTAGACAACAAGAAGCCTTGCTCTCCCAGAGCTTGTTTGAAATATAGTCCATTTTCTACAAACAAAACACCATCCTTTGTTAATGAAGTTTCACTATAGTAACAAATAAACTGATTTTCGGTCAATCACGAGATGCAATCACTAAAATCTGCGGCTGTGGGTTCAACACTTGAAGCCATTAACGTCTGACTAAATCAGACTAATTTAGAAAGGAAGCTGGTGGAGCTTACCTGCAGGTAAAGCTGCCGTTTGTCCAGAAGCTCACAGAGCCTTTGTTCCCATAGCGAGCGGAAGTCAACTTTTTGAACAGAGTATGTGGGGGTATGTGCTCTGGACAGCAGCAGATCCTGCAGTCGTCTCTCCTCAAAAATGGCTAAATCTTTGTTAACCAACTCGCAGAACGTTTTTTTGTAGCTAAGTGCTTGCATATGGATCTCGTTCTAAGGAAGCAAAGTACAAGGATTTGCACACTATGATTGAACAAAACAGAACACAGGGCACAACATTTGAAATGAAGCTGGACTAATATGTACCTGAATTGTTTGGAAACTCTGCACAGTCTTCAGTCCCTCCTCAAAAACACCACTATGAATCTTTAATGTGGCTTTTGGCAGAGTTCTCAGCAAAGCAGGCTTCAAACAACCCTGCAGTTTGAGAACGTCGTGCACAGGTTTGGCACCAGATCTAGAAGTAGTATGTATTACGTCCTGCAAGCTTCGGAAARACTTCTGAAAAGATGAAAGGATTCATTAGTGTGACAGGATTACTGTCCAATCAGAAAGGACTTGCCCCTTTCATCAACATATTTGAGCTGTGAGATTACACTACATGAGTAAGATGATGTGGTTCACCTGGAGTTGAGAGACGGAGTTCTGCAGCTGTGAGGACACKGACTCCTCATTTTTGGTGTTCTGTTCCAGTCTGTTCAACTGTTCTTTCAGGGTTGAGATGGTTGAGCAAGCTTCATCAAGCAACTAAAACAAAACCAATAAATAAATAAAGAGCTAGAGATGCTCATTCATTCATACTAGCAAGGGAAAAAAAATCATGTCAAACTGTTGACCAACCTGCTGAGAGGTTTCAGCATCAGCTTTAGCACGAGCTTGTTCTGTTTGCATCAGCAGCTGCTCTTTGAGCTGCTGCACCTGATCCAGAAACAGAAAGGGATCATTGTCACCAACCGTGAAGTACAAGAGAACATGAAAACATTCAGCATAAAATTTGATCAATCAACTTCATGCTCAAACAAAAACAGAAACAAGCTGGTGACAAGGACATTATTTTAAACAAGCCTCAATATCATTTAGTGCTGGRCGGTATACCGTTTTGTACCGAATACCGGTTTTTATTTTTGTTWTATGAAKTTTTTGAATACCTGACATTCCGGTTTAAATAGYGGAACGTTTCGTCGCRGCYGCCAGTGAACTGTTGTTTCCCGGGGGACATTTTTCCTTGCTGCACCGCTATGTGCGTTAGCATGCTAATGTTTGGAGCAGCTAGTTGCAGCAGCGGGTGGCGATTCTGCTGCTTATATTGACTGACGTTTGAAAAAACATCCCGTTTTCACAGTCGCTGAATGTAGTAAACACCTCTTCAGTGACGTGCACAGTTAGATTTAATATGGTTAGTTAATATGGAGACGTTATGCTGATGGAGACTTAACGCGGTTCTATTGTGAAAAGCCTGCGGGAAGTAGTTCGTAGTGGAGTTGGAATTGACTGGTGTGTAAGGTGAGTCGTGCTGATAAGCTTTAATAAATAACATAAAACAATAAACCCGATCATAATCTTTTAACCCTCCTCCTTCAAGACTGGACCAAAATGCATGRCTACTGTCTGCAACCACCAGTCAGAGAAGAACAGACAGAGGAGGGAAAAAGACACACAGACAGAGGTACAGTAAAAGAAAAACAAGTCAATAATCAGGGTTTGTACATTTTATCAGCTGAGCTGTGATGAAAAGAAAAATACAGTCAAATACCTTGAAACTGGTGAAAATGTTGAAAATACCGTGATATAAAATTTTGATCATATCGCCCAGCTCTAATATCATTATTATTATTATAAATTTATTCATTTTAAAAACAAAACTATATACAACAACAAAAAACACATACAGTACAATCAAAAATCAAATAAAATGAAAGGCAGAAGAAGAATAAATCTTGTAATATCTGCCCCTTTTGTCCCCTAAATAAGTTCAAACAAAAATGCTTCACACACAAAAACAACAAAGCTAAATTAAAACATCAACTCAAACAATTCGTTTACCTTCACAATTATGATTTTCTATATTTATTCAGAAAACTAAGTATTATCATTC